AAAAGGTAGCTATGAGCTGTATTTGACTCAGTGAGTGAGTTACTTAATAAAGAATGTGCACAGACACACACACAAAAAGAGCAGTATTCCCCAGTTGCTGTTTTTTAACCCAAAATAAAAATAAAACATTAGTTCTAACAACATGGCAATAATCCTGGGACCCAGCCTATCACAATCCAGGAACCCAGTCTGTTCCTCTAGAATCTATTTCTATTCCTAGAAGTAAAACTATCCTTTGGGGAGGGTGAGAGAACCTCTTCGACAACAATTCTTTGCTGTCTCCAGTTACAGCAATATATTAGACACACTCTTACCTGGAACCAACAAGAGAAAAACCAAGTCATTCAAAATCAAGTCAGATTGCTTTAAAAAAATAACACAGGTTTTCAGAAGGGACTGGGCTAGCTATTCTTTTTCTCGGTTAATGCTGCAAAGGCCAAGATTTGTCATTCTGATAACATTATAATGGGCTTCAGCCCTGACCTGCCTATAGCCACTACCACCATCAATCACTTCAGAATGAGAAGATACAGCAAATTACACAGGTACTCCATGCAAGTTCAAGACTAAGCCGCCTTACTGGGAGGTTCTTAACAGTGCTGCCCGCCTCCCAGGCCTGGCACTCTTCTATTTTCTATGAATCATTAGAGTGTCTCTCAGCCAGTTACATGGCATTACAGGGCCCACCAGGTCTCAGCACACTGCCCGTGCCTGACAGCAAGAGAATAACTTCAAGAACCAATGGGTAGATCCACATCACAGGCCAGGAGTCTCAGTACTAAGTCCAGGATCTGTCCTGGGGACCTAACATAGGCGGGGTAAGATTGGAAGGGAATGCTCCCATGAAAATATATCAAATAGCTGCCCCCCAATTAGGTTCTGACACTGGCTTGTTGACAGCCACATGATCAGCAACCGAGCTCATGCAGCAGCACCAGGCCACCTCTGAATCCCCTGAAGTGAGCATCTAATTTTCAGGGAGACGTGTAAGCTTGCTGGAGGATGGTGCACACATTTTTAATAAGGTGAAAATAAATCAAAATAAAAATAGCAGCAACAACAATGATGCTAACAAGGAAGGAGACAAAAAGAAATCAAGAATGGGGGACATCAAACGTCTAGAGATGAAAGTGTCTTTCTTTGTGGTTTCCAAATGAGGGGAAGGGGAGTCGTGGTTTAGGGTGTGTTGGATATTTTGTTAAAGGATGGAAATTCGGCACAGATACTGGTGATGGCGACCCAACATGACTAATGCAGTCGGGGTCACTGAACTGTCTGTGTAAAACACGTTAGACTGGATGTTTTTGTTCTTTCTATTGTTGCCACATTTTAGAAAATGCTCTTTACGTACTGCTATACAAAAATCACCCTAGCATGTTATTAAATGAATGGAAAATAGAGCACAACAGTACAAAGTGCACGTTCCCATTAAAAAAGAATGGAGCTGTCAAAGACCCAGTAGAGTGTTGGCTAGCAGGCACAGAGCTTACACAGGGCAGGGGAGCCGCGCCAAATCTGGAATCTCCACTACTTATGAAGCAAACCTCTGGGGCTACATGTGAGTGGCCCAGGGGGTCACTGCAGCTGCTTCTCCTGTCGGGGGTGAAGGCGTCATGGGAGAAGCACCTTATCCCAGGAACACGAGAGGAAAGCTGAGTCTTCTTAGATCTTTCCAAGTCTGAATCCAAAGCATCGTAATATCAGCAAAACCCACAGATACTGTACCAGGAGGTGTTCCTCGTGCCCAGTAAAGAACACCACAAGATAAGCTGCTACCCTCTGCCTCTACCCAACTTCCGGAACTTATATCCACGTACTGTACCACGACAGCCCCTTCCCTTCTACTTCTCTCCAGACACCAGCTGACCAAGAAGGGCCCATTCGGACTCATGGTGACTCATACATGCCAGAATAGGCCTGCGTTCCATAGGCGTTCCAACAACTGATTTTCCAGAATTAGACTTCCAGAACTTTCTTCCAAGCTGCCCCTAGTGGATCTGAACTTCCATCCTTTTGGTTAACAGCCAAGGGCTTTGACCATTGTACCACCAAGGGATTCCCTTCTTACATGAGATGTGATCAAAATGGGTGGAGGAGAAAGAATGTTTGTGATTCTGTCATAGCTTTTACTAGTATGAGATATTAACCAATTTATTTAATTTCTCTAGGCCTCAAGGTTTTTTTGGTCTTGTTTTAAATTTCTTTATACAATGTAAGAATTTAATTGATTTATTTCTGCCAATCATTCTAAAAAAATACAAATGATAAACCCTGCTTGACCATCACAAAACTGCTACAAAAATAAAAACATAATATAAAATAATACAACATAAGGATAGCATGCAAAGTGCTATGTAAAGTGCCGCCTGTGTTTGGGGTGTCATAATTAATCGTGTTGAAAAGCACAACAGTGGCCTTAAAATAACTCATCCTGGTAAGCTAAACAATGAAACATCTGCACTCCACCAGATCCCCTCAGCTGAGGCTCTCAGGACGGCGCTGTGGGAAGAGCAAGGCACCATGGGATTCGGAAGGGCACAGCGGTTACTTCAGAGGGTAGCAGAGTTGTCCAGTTGGGAAAGAACAGCAGAGAACCAGCTGGATTGGGGACAGACGACTAGTCGGGGACTTTTGTGATGAAATAGATTGGCACACAGGATGGGAGTTACATAGGGAGGGGTGGGGGGCAGAGCAGCTTTGGGCAGAGGAGAAAGAGTTGAACACAAATCAGGCGTGTCCACCATCTGTAAACTACCCATGACAAATCAAATCCCCAAATTTGCCCTAAAACATGTGTGTACTTAAATGCAGATTTTTATAGGCAATGGTGTTTTTTTTTATTTAAAGAATAAAAATTCTGGTCCATTTTACTTTTAAAACGGTACGTCGAGAGAAGGATTTCTCAGTGGGCATACGTCAGTATTTTGGAAGGCCAACTCTTCAGTGTTTCAGATGGTCCCAATATTGCAAGCTACTCCGCATGGCTGCCCCTACTCTCCTACATCCGAGCTGTACCCTTCAAACAGGGTGAGAGGCATCCCACAGGCTCCAAATGCCCCCTAAGTGCAGACACCCACCCGTCACCACTGAGAACCTGGCAGAAGAAGAAACAGCCCTAGGAAGCTGTTCTCTTCCGTACATCAGTGACCAAACAGGATCACCATTCCAGTGGTTTCTTTTCCAAACAGTTTGTTTCCATCAGTTTATTAAAGTGAACTGCAGTTGTTCCTTTTTAAAAATCCTAAAGTGCATTCTATCTGTGCATTGCAAATACCGATGTTTAGGGAAAGTAACTGAACTATCACAGAGAGGACCGTACACCTCGGCAGGAAACACCGAGGCCGCCGTTATTAAGGATCGCATGGAGACAACGCTGCAGTGCAGCAAAGCTGCGTGGTTGGATGTGGCCAGGAAGGTCGCATTTATTCATGCACACACACGCATGTTGTATGTCTCTTATCCCAAACCTACGCAAACGCACTCAACCCACCGCCGCCCAGTTGATTCTGACTCACACTGCCCTCATAAGACAGAGTAGAACTGCCCTGTGAGATTTCTATGCTTGTGAATCGTTATAGGAGCAGAGAATCTCCTCTTCCTACTGTGGAGCTGCGGATGGGTTTGAATCTCTGACCTTGCAGCCCAACCACTATGCTGCCAGGGCTCCCCATGCCTCCGACCCAAACCCCTGACACCACTACTACTGATCCACAGACACCGACAAAGCTCTCCTGAGCTATTTCCTGCTGTTCCTAATTCATTTTGCTTGAGTTATATGTAAATATCCCCAAGGCATTTCCCCCCGTTTTTCTTTTTTACCTCTAAGCTTTTTTCTCCAACATCCAACAAAAATGATGTTCCCCAACCCCTGCCCCTCCTCAACTGTTTAAAAGCACACAATAGTTAGTTAATCATGTGGTCTGTGTTTTTCTCTTTTAAAAACAGTTTAAATGTACACTTCCTATGTATGAGAACACGCCTTCAGGTCTCCAGTCATGGACGAGGAAAGGATCAATGCGTAACCGAAATTCCAAAGGGTCAGGCCAATGCTGTGACAAACTCCACGTAGTATTATTCTTTCTTGTCCACACACAGCCAAACAACCCACTCAGCATTTCAGCTCTTGGACACACACATCTGCTCAGGTCTCCCTGTTTTCACAGGAGCAGAGGGCCAAGGCCACCAGTCTCCCGCCTGATCACAGAGATGAGTGAGTGAATACAAACAGAAAGCAGTACGGTGGAGGGGCTGTTCACCAATGTTTTCTTAACAGCGACATTCAAGCCCTTAAACAGTCCCTATAACTGCTCATCGAAGTGCTTTGTTCTCACAATGCAACGGCGCTTTAAGGGATTTTAGAAAGTTAAACAGAACTGTACATTTGACCCAGCTTATAATCGGCTCTAGTACCTTGCAAACCTTTGAATGCAGCTTGCATATCTATCTCCCAGAATCCCTAGTCTTCTTCCTCCACCATCTTCCTTTGAGTACTAAGTGTTTGCTGAAAGTGAGAGACATGACGTACCTTTCCCATCCCAGATAAGTCTCAGGTCCAAAATAAGTGATAGACTAACTTCTATCACTTGCATATCCCTAAAAAGAAAATTGGGACGGCCCACCCCCCATTACTGATTTTAAATGACACAAGTACATACAAAAGCAGTATATTACATGGAATGAGGTGCTTCAAAAAGATTATGCCAGTCTGTCTACTAAAATTCTATTCTCCACCCAACTGCCCAAAATATCTTGATCTGTTTGCACAATCATAATAATGATTCCCCAGTACTACAATATTTACGTCTTCCCCAGCTGCCTTGCCTCATCGCCAGAGTAGCTGGGAGAAGTCATCAGCAGGGTTATCCTCCAGGTCTGCAGCAGCCCTCCAGGGCCTTCTCTATGGGGCCCACACAGCCATTCTTTAAATTCATGGGCATGGGTCTCCCTGCCCCCCTCAAGCCCTTGGATCAAGGTGAGCCCTACAGTGAACAGGTCCTCACTTGGTGGGAGAGCCTCGTCCACCCTCTGGTACCGACTCACGTCCTGGCGCACTGACGGCAGAGATCTCAGTGGCTGATGGCCGTTGGCTTGGGAACCTAGGATTAGAGGGGACAAAGTTACCTGGGTATTGTTTGCCCCTTCAGTGCCCTCACATCTCACATGAAGCCTGGGCTCCATCTCTTTTCTCTTTTGACTTGTTTCACCGATGAAGACCCAGAAACAAGCGAAAGAAGGGAACGGGAGTGAACCCATACTTAGAAGAAGGCCTCGTAGACAGAGGTCTGTCCATCGGCCCCTCCTCCTGCCACCATCCCTGCCTCCTATCTCTCCCACTGGATCCTCCATCCTGGTCATTCATTCATTTAATGTTTTAGGGTCACCACCACAAGGAAGGGGCGGGAAGGAAGTGGAAGACGTGGAGAGAAGAGAACAGTCTAAACTGGAAAACGAATCACAGCTAGGAACTGGAAACACAGGCAATCCAGGACGGATGAGCCCTTCAGGACCAGTGGTGTGAGTGGCGATACTGGTGGGGTAGAGGGAGAGTGGGTTGGAAAGAGGGAACTGGTTATAAGGAGCTATATGTGACCTCCTCCCTGGGGGACGGACAACAGAAAAGGGGTGAAGGGAGATATCAGACAGGGCAAGATATGACAAAATAATAATTTATAAATTATCAAGGGCTCATGAGGGAGTGGGGAGGGGGGAGGGAGGGGAAAAAATGAGGACCTGATACCAGGGGCTTATGTGGAGAGCAAATGCTTTGAGAATGACGAGGGCAATGAATGTACAAATGTGCTTTACACAATTGATGTATGTATGGATTGTGATAAGAGTCATATGAGCCCCTAATAAAACGATTACAAAAATTTAAAAAAAAAAGAAAATCCTTCCCATTTTCCAGTCTCGGCTATTTAAGCCTGTGAAATTACCTTTGACTTTTGAATGTGTGTATAGTACTTTACAGGGATCAGCTCTCAAGGCACATTCACTGAGACAAAAACGAGCTTTAAGTATCACCTAATGTAGCTGACATTTCTCATTCGGCAAGAGGGAAAAACACTACATCTGATGCAAAGCGCACATGGACCTTCTGCTTTCGGCACGGAGGGGGGCTCAGGGGGCTCCTGAAAGCCTCTGCAGAGTGCCCTCCAGCTGGTGCTGGTGGCCTCTTTCTGATGTGCATCTGTACACACAGACCTTCATCACCAAAAATATCTTGCTGCCACTGAGCATCCACCCTGGATCCCTGTGTTTCCAGTTCCTATTGCGATTCATTTTCCATGTCCATTCATAATGACCCTATGGGACAGGGTAGCACTGCCCCTGTGGGTTTCCAGGACTGGAACTCTTTACAGGAGCAGAAAGCCCCTCTGCTTCTCCCTTGAACTGGCTGATGGTTTTGAACTGTTGAACTCTCAGATCTCAGCTCAACATGTAACCACTACACCACCAGGGCTCTTCACTAGTCTCAATAGAGATTCATTAATTAAGTCTGAAGACCGCCGCTGGACCGCCTGCAAATTGCCTCGTATTTTGGCAAAAGAAAAATACAACTGAAGAGAGACTAGAATGTGGACGCTACCTATCTGGATACACACTGAGGCTGCCCTCATCCTCGCCACGTAGATGATGAAGCCCACCCCCACCCCACCCCACCCCCCTGTGCGTGACTATAGACTGAAATGACAGGCCTGACCTCAAGTGCTTGAACGTTTTCAACCTGCTTCCCCATGTTCCTTATCCCTGTGTTTCATCTTAGCCCCCTCCTCTCCTTACTCTTCCTTTTGCTAATTGCTGAAGTCCAAGGTAAAGACTTCAGATAATACATTGGTGTTATGTGACCAGCGGTAGAATTCACACCAAGAGGCAAAACCACAAGACTTCTCTTTGTATAAGTGTGCCTGAGCCAAGAGCCATGCTGCCTTCCACAGCCTACCTCCTGTGGCACCCTCCTCCTCCTCCTCCTGGGCAGTGGCCCCTTCACAAGTGGCTTGGGCATTCCCAGAGGGCCCCTCTTCCTGGGGCTGGTTCTCAGGGGCAGCAACAGCAGCAGCAGCTCCCTCCAGGCTCCCCCTCCGCTGCCAGACCTCCCCGATCTCCTCTTGGTCCCGCAAAGTGGCTGATTCCGCCCCGGGTCCTTCGTCCTCCCCACTGGGCACCTGGACCACCGGGAGTGAACCGGGGGTGCAGATGGAATCCTGTGACCCTTCGGCGGGGTCACTGCTGGGGGGCTCCGCGGCTGCACAGGCTCCATCTTCTTCTTCCTGAGATGAAAAGGCTGGGGTTTCCGGAAACCGAGCACTCTCGAGAGAGGAGCAGCGCGTCTCCACAGAGGAGAGCTGCGTGGTGACGCTCTCATTGCAAGAGCTGTCCGCACCTTCCAGGTCACTCTCGCCCTCGGGCCTGGTGCTGGCCTCGCTCACACTCTCTGTCCTGGCAGGGTCGCTGGGCTCCGTTTCAGAGGACACCTGGGAAGGCTCAGACCCCTGATCCAGGGACTCAGTCTCACTGGTGGCTCTTTGGCTTCCTCCTGATGTCTCGGAAGTGCCCGTGTCTGCCCCACTGGTGGGCTGATCCACCTCCTGAGAGGCACACAACTCACCGCTGCCCTGATCCGTGCTGGGCTGAGACTCGGCCTCATTGTCGTTGTCTTCTGGGGCCGGGCCCGAGGGTAAGGGGCTTCCTGCGAGCTCTGGATGGGTTTCAGGCTTCTCCTCGATGGCGGAGGTTTCTTCCTGCCCAACTGGCTGATCATCCGGCTTCGTCTGAGATGCCAGGCTCCCATCCTCCGCTCTGGAGGCCCTGCTAACCATGATTAACCCGCCTTCCTCCTCCACGGATGATGTATAACCCAGGTCCTGCGGAAACTCATGATCCTCTTCGTCGGAGTCGATATGAAGCATGGCACTAAGTCTTGTGTCAGTGGGAAAACTGCTCCTTAGTTTGGGAGACGCTCCTATGGCCCTCTCTGAGCAGGGAGCTGCCCCTGGCCTGGGGTGGCCATGATGTTCAAGCGCATCTAAGTAATCGTTGAGTGAATCCTGACGTCCCCTGGGTGGCGAGGTCCTCGAGGCAGTAGAGATTAATTCCTCTGTGTCTATTTCCAGAGTGGAGCTAGTCCTGAAAGAATGTTTGGGGGTCCCATCGGCAGTACTTTCCTCAGACACTGGCCCATTGGAACATGTTGGGCTGTCATGGTGGGCTCCCGGCACATCCTCCTCATCAGAAGGACTTCCTAGGTCTCCGTTCACGCTATTGACTCCAAGTATCGTGCTCACGGCTGCTGGAGAAGCGTCTGAAGGAGAAACGAGTATTAAATAGTGGTAACAATAACACAGTAATAACAAATTAACTTCATGTAGCTTAGTGCCTTCCACCCACCGGTTCAATGAATTTAGTCATCCCATGGAGGCCTCCTGATAGTTTCCCCAACATGCTCAGGTTCACCACCTGATAGAATGACTGAGTCTACCTCCAGGCAGTTTGGCACGGATCTATATACTGCTGGGAATTCGACAGCCTACTTTCAAAGTGAAGGCATCAACCCAAGAGGTTGTTTGTGAAAAAACAACAGACTTTTCCTATCTTCTTTGACAACATCAGCAGGTAATCATTTGACAGCTCTTTTATTTTCAGAATGAGTCACAAATTCCCGTCAGTTGAAAGGCAAACTGCAAATGAGTAAGGTGTCATGCTTTTCCTTCAGCCACAGAGAAGCAGACCTCTTACCTTCATGGACAGAAGAGGTAACCTCCACTTTAAACTGGAGGTACCCACTCACGTGGTCAGCCGGGAGCCTCCTGCCAAGGTTGTAGCTGAGCATTTGGTCTCTGCAAGGGGAGAAAGGGTTCTTTCATCCTTTCTACATCGGCATCAACTTCACCCTCTCCCCGCAGGCCGTCCCCCATCCCAGGACACTGCTCTTAAAACCTGCAGGCTCACTGAGCTCAAGGCATTCCAGAGGAATGGTAGCCCTTCCTCCGCACAACTTAACAGGTAGAAAGCCAGGGATAAAAGGAAATGTATTAGCAAATGCAGGAAATGCAACGGTACAGTGGATTACTATATGATATTTTCTAAGGCACTGATTGGTGACTAGGGAGAATGCAGTTTGAAGGGCACGAAAGAGCTGGGAAAGCCAGTTGGAGATTTTCTTTCTTTCTTTTGCTTGACTCTGATGTAAAGCCACCGAGGACTGGTTCCAGATCATTGCACGCTGTAGGAGTCTGATTATACAAGGCCACTTACTTGTAGCTAATGCTATTTCATGACAGCAGGCTGCTCAGGAACACGTGTGCTAATGGTACACATTTATCCACGGCTCGCCTTCATGTGACTGCTAATTATTTTGCTTTCTACCACAGACATTTAAAAAATTATTCTAAAAATGAGTATAGGCATTTATAACAGTACTTTCCCCTTGCGTATTGACTATCTTGCTCTCCAACAAACCTAACTATTTTGCACATTAATGTCATACGTCTGGCAGTGACAGATGCCGAGGCAGCAGGTGAGAGGAATGGTGACTGTGATGGTTCAGGTGATCTGCCAACTTGGCTGGGTCAGTGTTTGGGCAGTTACATAATGATATCGTTTGGCAGTAAGGAAGTAGTCAGTCACCATTATTTTTTCATAAAGATGATTTTTTTTACAATAGATTGGTCTTTGAAACCTAACTATACTGGTAAATGAGGAACGGGTATACTAAACATTACATGCAAGTTACATGCTTGTATGATGTAAACGTCAGATAACATTACATAAGGGTTATGATCTACATAAGAGCAGGGATCTCTTTTTCTCCTCACTACTTTATTACCAGCACTTAGATAGTAGCTGGCTCCTGAACGTGCTCAGTATTTGTCCATTAATGCATTCACCCAGAAATGAATGGAAAAGAGCTTCTCCCAGCACTGCCGGTCCACATCCAACTCTCTAAACATACTGTCTTCTCATCATTTCTTTGTTAAAAGTAATACCAAGGTCTTCTTCACATGTTATCTGGTCAATAAATGCTAATGTTAGTGCTGGTGATGAATATTTACAAAGGTGCCAGCTTTTAGCTAGGAGATATACTTATATATTTAATAAGAATTATAAAGGTATGTATTAAAAGGTATGTAGTCCTCTACATCAGTCCTCTACATATGCTCCCTAGCATATCTCGAATGCCTAACATAGTACTTGACTTTCAGTAAACCAAATTCACCGCTAATGAGTTGATGCCAACTCATAGTGACCCGATAGAACCGGGTAGAACTACTCCTGTGGGTTTCCCAACTGTAATTCTATACGGGAGTAGAAAGCTCAGCCTTCCTCCCATGGCGTGCATCGTGGTTTCAAACTGCTGACCGTGCAGTTAGCAGCCCAACATCCAACCACTATCCCACCAGGGTTCCTTTGACTTTCAATAGACATTCCAAATATTTGTCTCTTGACTAAATTAGTTAAAAATGAGACCCTTCACTTAAAAAAATTATTTCAATGGACTTTAATGCTGTTTATTAACCAAACTGTCAGGATACACAGTTCAACTATTAAACTTATATAAATATAGGGAATCCTGGCTAGTAGTGGATTCTGAGTTGAGTTTCTTTCCTCCACTGAAGAACTGCCAGGAGTCATCTGCTCTGGTGACCTTGTCTCATCTGGTTCTATCTGCAACTCTGCCCCACTTTAGTAGTATGTGGGGGTCCAAAGAGCTTAGTCTCCGAGTCAGCTGCACACTAATGTAAGCAGAGGAACTGACCAAGCATGGGATCAAGCATGAGCTTTTGGAAACGAGAACAGGGTGAGCTCTTTAAAATGTCAAATTTGAACAGATACTCTCCAATGTGTTAGTGTGGAATCCTACTGTCCTATAAGACCTTGCCCTGTGAAACCACAACAAATTCTGAGCATTGGATTTGACTAAATACAGAACCAACAAAACCCAGTGTTTTCCATGACCAATCAGTTACTTGATGAACAAGTAGTAATCTGATCAGAAATACATTTTTATATGGCAATATTCAGGCAGCCTTGGTGGTACTGTTGGGTAAGCACATTAGACTTGGAACCACAAGGTCAGTGGTTCAAACCCACCATATGCTCCTGAGGAGAAAGATGATGTTATCTATTCCCATAAAGACTTACAGTCTTGAAAACCCTACAAAGCGTTGCTCGGCATCTGAATGGACTCAGTGGCAGTGGGTTGGGTACGCCAATATTTGATAAGCTAATAGGTATATTTTTATCTAATAAAGCAACCCCCTGTCAGGCAATACTTCTAATCTACTTACAGTAAAATATTTTCTGCTATTCTACAAATTCATGCTAGACTTCATCCCAGTCACATGACACCCATGAGTGGCAATATCTTAAGTGTACAGCTCTTTCAAAAACGAAATGAGATGCTAGTAAGTAACCAACACCTTCAGGCACTGACAAGTGTTTTACTCCCTGATCATTCTTGCTAGTGTTCACAGCTGGGCATTTTCAGTCCGTGTCGCCTGTATTATGCAAACCACATAGCTGCATTTATATAAATGAAAGTATACATATATCTCTTATAGTTAAATCTCATTCTTTATAATCTTTCGTAGTCCATAAATAATTCTTAAAACTCTGAATCTATCTCCACCGGAAGCAATAAGTGCTAGGCTTCACAATAATTGTGATTTCTTCCCAGCTTTCATTGGAAGAACAAGGAAGGCTGCTGCAAAGGTTGCTGCAAGTTCTGTGTCATATTCCTATGTCCCGTGGGTTGGCGCAGGCACACAACATCTATTACCTCTGACAGCGAATTAGAATCCATTATGATTTCTGAGTGTCAGATTTTGAAGGAGTCTCAGAGATTATCTGCTTCAAACGCTTTCTTTTTCTGACTGGGAAACTAATGCCCAAGAATATTGTGACTTGCCAAAATGACATAGTTAACTAGGTGCCAAGTGAATGCTAGTGACCAACCTTTCTTGGCTACCTAGCGTACTGGCCCACTCCTGCTGGTGCTTACAGGACTGTGGAGAAGCCAGGGTTCTGGAGCAAGTGAATACGAACTCCAATTCCAGCCCCATGATGGACTTGCTTTCACACAATTTACTTCAGGTTCCACATCTCTAAAACGAATAGAAAAGTACAGAATCTACCTCCCGGGGTGGTTGAGATGTTGTGAGCTGATGAGTGTCGTGTACTTAACTCCAGACAGTGAGTTAGTGCCCAGCACCTTTGGTAATTATTACTGCTGCTACTACTACTACTGCTACATCTAGAGCTATTCATAATATGCTGCTACACTGGGAAAAAAAGGCAAAACAGATGTCCCTTCACTACCTCATAGCACCAGTGCTCCCGAGTTTGACTGTGTTGGCCATGTGGAAATGCAAACCACACCTACAAAAGAGGATAGAAGCATGCTATGATTTCTTGACTACTTTATTTACAATTTACGAAGAGCTCCCAGAAAGAAAGTAGGCATGTGATCCCCTGTGAAAATTTAATGAATCATGTTGCCCAAATGAACACGCGTTCAGGAGCTCGTGAATAAGACCGCATCAGAGTCTGGGTCTCATTTCAAATCGTTCTAACCAGGATGTTTTGGTGTTCCTAGAACCAAAGCTCTCTGAATAGGGTCAATCTCTGAACAGGATAAGGCATGTGCCTGCCTCATACGTGAACTCTGCTCTAAGAAGAAGGTTTTCTAGCAAGTTTTCAAGGTACCCTCCCAAACAATGTAACACTGAAAGTTAACACCGACATGCTAATAGTAGGCTCAGCTTAAAAAGCTTAAAAGAAAAAGCTGCATAATTTTAGAAGACAATTTTTTTCTCTCACACACTTTAATCAATTTCACCCAAATCCACTGCCATTGAGTCCACTCCAATGTATAGTGACTCTTTGGACAGAGCAGAGCTGCCTCAAGCTCTCAGTCTTTACAAACACTAGTACGTCTACAGGCACTTCTATTTTGAAACGACGTCTGTTGGCACTGTTATCCGTAAGATAATATACATACGAAGTATAATTCAATTGTTAATCTTTCCACTATCCTTGACGGTAAGGGCTGATTACCCAATGGATGGGCGTTCCAGTAGCCTCTGGACTGGGATGGTTAGTTTCCCCAGGAAACGCTTGATGATAGGACGGCTCTTGGCAAATTTGTCTTTAATTTCAATTTCCAAGACATCCGTCAAAAGTGCGAAAAAGGAATATTTCTGAAAGACAAAAACCCAGATACACTGATTCAAAAGAAAGGTTGACATTATGATGTCTCATTTTATTATTCTAGGAAATGATCTCTCCCCTAAATCCTAACGGCATACAGGGTCCACATGGCAAAAACTATCTGCTGCTATTATTAATTCTTTCTGCACTCGGGGTTCATTCACAGTGGTTAAAACGATGGTTAAAAGTCTGTATTACAGAAGGATCTCACCAGTCAAGCATCTGCTCCTTCCTGGTATCAACTTTTTTGGAAGATGTTATCAAATATTAAGTTACTCACAATACAATTTTAATACTCACGAGGTGTATTATATCTTAACTCATTGAAATTTCATTCCCTGTTACAGGATGGATTAGAATGGGTGGCAATGATTAACCATACTAATTCCTAATCTCGCAGGATTTTGAAGTTGTAAAACGGATTTTAAAATTTTTCTTCACTTGGTGGTTCAATTAGAAATAGCTACAGAATAGTGTGGCTTCCATGATCACATTCAAATAAAACATTGCATTTTGAAATTATTACTGAAGTTTGAAGGGCACAGAGATAATTTCTGCTGGCCTTGAAAAATACAAGTATGAAGTTAAGTTAGACTTTGCTGTTTGGGTTTAAAACGAAATTGAACATTAACAAGATTAAACAATAAATATAAAGAGCTTTATACATGCATGTAAAGTACCTAAGTATACAGAGCTTTGGCCATTTACAAAACTCCTGCGTTTGTTACCTCCATTTTATCCCTACAAAGAGAAAGGTTTCTTCTTTCTACTTTGAGAGGAGGTCCCCAGGAGAAGTAAATCATGGTGCCAAGAATCTAACCTCAACCAACTCCCTTTGCCCATGACGGTATACCTGCGACCACAGTGGTGTGTCTAGCGCTAGGCAGCTTTTTCACACTTACAATGAGCTTATTAGTTCTCCCAAGAGTCACGCAGTTTGGCCACCTGCTTAATGGAGAAAGCACTTGCTTAAGCTAAGGAGTCCTTGGTGATGCAGAGGGGTAAGCGCTGGGTTGCTAAAAAAACTTGACAGGGTGGAGGTTGGAGACTACCCAGAGGCACCTCAGAAGAAAGGCTTGTCAATTTACTTCTGAAAAACCAACCATGGAGAACCCTATGGAGCGCTACTTGGACACACAGTAGGTCTTCAGGAGTAGGAATCGAGTTGACAGCAACTAGACTTAGAAGAACAAAGCCGAGTTAAAGCCCCATCGCTGCCATGAGCAGCTAAGGACTCCACACCTTAAGTCTTAAATCAGCAAAATGGAGACAGGTTAATGTTGTCTATTATTCCTGCTGGTAAGGCTTGTACAGGCAACAAGGTCACCGACTTTACACTAAATGTAGAATGCTAGAAAATAAGGGACAGGTAGAACTACCCCCATGCCTCTCGGAGACTGTCGCTCTTGACAGAAGTAGAAAGCCCTGTCCTTCTCCGACCGAGCAGCTGGCACATGACCACCTTTGGTTCACATCCATAAAGACACTGAAGATGCCAGGGACCCCAGAGAAGAGATGACCTTGTCAGGTAAAGACCACCCTTACCTCTCGGTGCCAAATTGGATTCGTGGTGTTACTGATGATAGTGGATCTTCTCTCCTGCCCATGGTGGGCACAGGTGGGGAAGCTGCTCTTCTTACCTGGCTGGATGGACATCTTAAGGTATGGATCAGGGTTGAAGAACATGCCTTTCTTTAGTCCAACTGCCCGAAGATCTTTAAAGAAAAGGGAGGCGAGGGAGAGAGGAAGAGAAGAAGGGAAAGCCCCGGAGAACTTGGTTAGGACAAGCAGCTCCAGGCTTGCTTTTGCGAAATCACAGAGGAGCGCTAAACAGAAACTACAGTGTAAGACAATAAAGGAAGTGGCTCACACGCTTTCTTTGTGGGTCTCCTGGCCCGCTACAGAAATGGAATCACCTCGTTAGCACTGGTTCACATGCCCAAACGTCCCACCTCCCAGACCACCGGAGCCTGGCAGCCAACACTGCAGACCGTGTCCTGAGAGACTTCCTGAGTGAACAATTTATTTCCGGAAGGAAACCAACATGCCCTTCTTTAATCTTCCACATTCGTATATGAAATGGGTTCTAACGAAGCTGCACTGAGGCGGAGTGGACAGACAGGGCTGAAAGCAGGGCAGCAGCACTACTTTAAAACTGCAGACTGCACACTCATTCGCACTGAGTTTCAAATGCCAAACACCAATGGATGGAGGTATGGACTGTGATAAGAGCTGAATAAGTCCCCAACAAAAAAGAAAGTTGTGCGGAAAAATTATTACATAAAATAAAGTGCCAAACACAAACTTCAGAAGGTCTATGGAAAAAACGGAGATGAGAGATAACGGATTATTTTTTAATGAACTGTTTGAAGCCCCCTTATATATTCTGTAAATGTGACAGCTGTTAAGGATTTGAATGTTGTCTGCTATCTTAAGTGCCCAGGAGCTTGTCTTTTTGACAGCCTGTAAAATGACTCAATGACCTAACAAGCATAACTCACTTTAGTTTCAGTAGTTCTTGCCTCACACTGTGTGAGCTGCTAAGATCCCAAATGAAGTCTGTTTAGCGAGGAAATCGGTTCTATTAAAAATATCTAAGAGATTAAAAAAATAAAATTTAAAATTTATAAAGCTGGCTCCACTCAGTTCCCAATGTCTTCCTAAAAATATCGGCATGAATAGGTGGAAGGGAGCAGAGTAATCTTGAAAGAATATGGTTTCCTGGTCAATGTAACCATTATGCTCAATTTAGGGAGGTCCTAACCTCTGATTCAGGTAGAAATTCCGTCAATGATCCCTGAGCCTTGAAAGACCTGTGGATGGCCTAGGCCACCAAGGGCGCAAACTCTCAACTGCTGTCGTTAAGTACCATGAAATTACTGTAAGCTGATAGTGACCCTGCATCACAGAGGAGAGCTACCCGGAGGGTCTCCTAGGCTGTAATCCTCACAGAAACAGACCACCACGTCTTCTCTTCCAGGAGCCACTGTGGGGTTTGAACCGCCAACTCTTCTGTTAGCAGTCAAGTGCTGTACCCATTGTTCCACCGAGGCTCCCAAACTCTGCATCCTCCAAATCAAACCCATTGACACCAGGTTGACTCTGACCATACCAATGCTATAAGAGAAAGTAAGATTGCCCCATGTGGTTCTAAGTCTGCCTCTCCTTGACGGAAGCTGAATGCCACATCTTTCCCCTAAGGAAAGGCTGGTAGATTCGAACCAATTTACAAAGAGGGTGCCTTAAACTCTGTATTACTCTCCCTTCCCTACCCCACCCCAGCCCCGAAAACCATATATGGGCAATTCTATATAGGGATTCTGAGGCTATAGCCTCATCTTTCTCCCTAGGAGCAGCAAGAGGATTCAAACCACTGGCCTTGAGATTTTCATTCTAATGCTTACCTGACGGTCCCACAAGGCCTCCTTACCATGCCTTCAGGTGACTGTCAATCATAGCAAGTCACCAGGGTTAGCTCATGCAAGGTCATTCTTAAGACATAAGATCTTCCTTGGAAGGGCAAGGGTGGTCTACTGTGGCCCATAGAAATGACACACAGGTTGTCATGGCAGAGACACATGATGAAAACAGATCAGGACGATCTTGGGCCACATAAATGGAAGCCAGTGGGTGGGACCCAGTGAGTAAGTTAGCAAAAGGCTGAAAAATCCAAGTGATGTGAGCACTCTATGTGAACTACAGAAAGGTCTTTGATGAGGAAACCAGTGGGAGAAGGGGGAGGCAGGTAAAGAACTAGGTGAGCACCTCAGAGGTGCGACCAGAATCTCATTAGCCTGACAATCCCATTTTTGGCTCCTCATAAACCTTGCAGACCCACAAACCACACGGACTGCCACAGCAGCCACGCCGTCATGAACGCCGTCATGGTGAACGCAGGCACTGCATTTCACTCTCAACCTAGCAATGCTACAGTTTCCACTTGGCTTCCCTCAGCATCAAGTCGCTTTGAGAGGAAAACACAATTTACACATTTATATTCTTGCCCCTTTCGATTATGCTCACATAGGACTCAAAGACAGAAATATGATATTCCCTAAAGATTAAAGCTGCTTTCAAACACGGGAGTTTTCTACAGTGAATGAGGAGTAACAGATAGGCAAATGACCACTACAAAATCAAACAGAGGTGAATTATTCAAGCCAAACACCACTTGGAACAACATACATTCCACCAGAAGTTTAAGACACTGCGATGCAGGCTGTCACCGCGGGAAGAATTCTGATGCCCTAGGCTTCCACGATGGGCTTCTGCACAAATAACCCTTCACCAAGTCAGACCAAAATGATGGATTAATTTTAGCCGGATTACTCAGCTTATTTTATTCATCTCATTTTTGCTCTCTGCTTATCTTGTCTTTTATGTATTTTACCACTTAAAGTATCCATACCACATAAGAGGCCAAAAAAGGACTTGGTGTCCCCAAGATGTGCCATATTCAACACCCTAGTTTAAAGAGTTATTTGGGGAGAAATATAAGTCAAAACAGAGTTTTATGTTAGCTATAGAGTTCAGTGACTCGTGTGTTTACTTATCCATAGATAATTAAGAGCAGAATATATGTAGGCAGTCATTCTATAGTGTTTCAATGCTCTCGGATAAGTATTATCATCCACTATCAATATGCGGCAACCAGATTGAGTTTTTAAAATTAGCATTATAGAATTGTTTTCATTGCCTACACTTTCGTAGCCATTTCTTTACCCTGCCTGTGAATGTCTCAATACATGGCAGGGAAAACAGGTGTTCGGTACCTAGCTTCCACATGTTAGAAGAAGTCATATTTAACAAAAAAGCACTTGCATCTCAAAGCTGATTTCCTATTTTTAGGGACAATACCATCAGGTTTTTAGCTTTCAGACGATCATTCTCCCATGTTGAGTTGATATGATACTTTCTGGAGTAATAATTAATATGTGATTGTTAGGTTCAAATGGTATGGTATTTTATCACTTGAAAGCTAACAACAATGATCCTAAATTAAAAACCTACGATATGGTCAAACTTCATATTTCCTAAGCTATTGGGGTTGGTTAATTGTTTTTTATGTATAGGCCAGAGATTTCCGTATCTGCTAGCCCTGAAGACTATGAGAATCTAAGGCTTTGGTTGCAACTGGAAATGTTTTCAGATAATGAATGAAATTAGAGAAGTAGTAATCGATGCCTATCTAAAAATCTAGATATTTTAAAGCCCCAAGCATTCCAAACAAAGCACAGTTATTGATCAAATTTGAGCCATAAGCCTTGCATATGAGAATCTGCAGGTATTTCAAAGTACACATTTTGAAACTGGGTGCAATGTTTAAAGACCCACGTACCTGTCAGTGTAAAGCTAACAAGTTTCTTAGAATGCTGACTTCCTGAAGCACCTCCTTCCAGGCCTTCTGCCCCCATCTGAAGAGAGAAAACAAGAATCTGAAGTTTCATACAAGTATGACTCTATTCCTTGGGAATCACATCAAGCCTGTTTTACAGCATATGTTTTTCACTTCTAGGTCCCAGAACTGGGGAACAAACAAAGGTTCTCTAAGACCACGCAAGGTGCTATCTTTAAATTTAGTCTTTACACAAAATCAGACAACTCTGAGCTTCTAAATTCCCGGGGACAACTTTCGTTCTGTTGTACACAAGTAAAAACCGCTTAGACAACAGCTAACTACAACATTCACGATAAAGAACTTTTCTTTTCTGCAATATTTCTGAGTGATCACATGGGAGTCCCTACATCCTTGCAGTTCTATGCTGTAGCGTGCTGTAGTACGCGGCACATGCTGTTTAAGTGGGGATAATACGGGTCTGTTGTACTACTGTGCTGGTACTTTTTGCTAAAAACTTGCATGTACATTTTATCTCACTCAAGACCAGGAATTTGCAGAGCACAGAGAATGTATGCAAGACTAGTACATAATTCAGGACACACTAGAAAGAAAGGGCTCCGGGGAACGCTGAAAAACATACAGTGTTGCAAGGGATAGAACTGAAGGGAGAATATCTTCTGAAAAGCTGAAATCGGCTTGTAGTTCTCACCCCACACCTATTGCCATTGAGTTGATCTCGACTCAGAGCAATAGGACTTAGAGGACAGGGCAGAACTTCCCTGCAGGGTTTCCAAGACTGTCACCGTGGCAAGAGCAGACTGTCACACTTTCCTCCCACGGAGTGGCTGCTGCTAAGTACTTAATCACTGCGCCTCAGCGTCCCTCAGTGACAGTGTCACGCTTTAGCGGACTGCTTCACGTGCCCTTTCAATATCCTCGAGTAGCAGCCAGGTATATCAACTGCAGCCGAAGAGCCAACTTTGTGTTGGTCACAGAGGTAGCAGCTCATGAGGAGGCTCTGCTAGGTGATGCACTGGCTAAGCACACACCTGCTAACTCAGAGGATGGTGGCGGGAATCTACTCCACGGTGCCACAGAGGAGAAAGTTAGTGGTCTTCTCTCAGACTACTTCTGTTAGCTGCTGTCCGGTGTATTCCGACTCATGGTAATCCCGTGTTTGCAGAGTAGATCCAAACTTAAAAAAAAACCAGACTTACTGCCATCAAAAAAAAAAACAACGAACGCACCGCCATTGAGTCTATTGCAATTCAGAGTGACCCTATAGGATAGGGCAGCACTGCCCCTGGGAGTTTCAGCATCAGTAGCTCTTCACTGGAGGAGAAATGCTCCCACTGAGTGGCTGGTGCTTTCAAACTGCTGACCTTCATGTAACTTGCTTCGCAGCCCCATGTGTACGATGCCACTGGGGCTCCTGGCAGAGGAGAATGAGCTGGTACCTCTGTGCCCATCACAGAGTCGGCTCTTCAGCTGCAGTTGATCCACCTCTGCAAATTCTCAGGGTTGAGACTTTTCCAAAACAAATCACCAAGCTTATATCTTGTGAGGGCCCCCTGGGTGGGTTTCAGCTGCCTGCATTTCAGCAAGTAGTCAAGCATATGTTTAGGCCACTCCAGACTCCTGAAAGATTACAGCCCTTGAAATTCCTATTGGGCACGGTGGTACTCTAAAACGTGAGGTCACCAGGAGGCAAAAATTAACTTGCTAGCAATGAATGGTTTTTGTTGTTGTTTTGGGTTTTTTTAAAGTCTATTAGGCAGCACTCTTCTGATTCAACCACTGCAGTGTAAGTGGAGCCGAGAGAGCAGCTAACTGGTCAGATAGGTGGTTGCTGTGCCTCTCTTGTCTTGCATCTCTAGACAGGGCAGTGGGGAGAAGAAGATAGTGCAAATTACAACTCCGTCACTAACCTGTCCGCCCTACGCCCTGGACACAGCCAGCTACCTGACACAGCCTGTTGTGACCTCAAATGAGTCCTATGGCTCAGTAAGCTGTGCCACCCCCAAGGGCGTGGCTTCTCTGCTCGCCCTGGGGTGCCTGTGCTGGAAAGACCTACAGCCTGTCTTCACTTAAATCCTACTAAAAATATTGCCACGAATTATAAAAAAGAAAACATAATTTTCATTCCTGAAATGTGATTCACTAGCTGGCAAAAAAAGGGTGTCCTGAAATAATTCTTAAAAAAATCCACTGATAAACAGTGCCCTTCATCAGTACGGTGGCAAATTGTTCCTCTAAGTAATTCTAAAAGAATCCTGCTTTATCACGCGTTGCAACAAAGCCAGGAAAGAGCTAACATTACAAGTAGACACAGGGACTTTAGTGATAATAAACACATCTTCACAAAGTTTGGAGAGAAGTTTTTAAATAAACTCCCTACATAGTTCAAATTCAGGAAAACTCAGTATCAACATGGTCAACCGAGTGTTGAAACAAGATGTGGCAGTGAATGATGGCAGCCTGGATCTGTTCCGAAGCCTGAGGATTTCCTGTTCTGAGGGTCGCAAACACCTGTTACCCTTTGCTCTACTAAATGACAGTGACATCAATGCATGAGTAACAGAGAAGGTGCTTTTTTTCAAATGGCTGATTCATTATGAAAGGATATGTGAGAAAGGAGACTGTGTCACCAGGATGGCCCTCATTTCCTTCCCATGGAGTTTGTCAGTTACTTCTTGGTTTAGTCTTTGCATCTGGTCATGAAATAATTATAATAAATGGCCTTCGTGGAAATCAATGTTGGTCACCAACAATAACTAAACACGTGTCATATGCGTGTGACCACTGGACTGCTACAAAAACACAGCGCTCACTTGCATAATGAAGGGCCCAAGTGGCACCAAAGAAAAATAAAACTCACTGCTTTAGAGTTGATGCCAACTCACGGCTACGCTATAGGACAGAGCAGAACTGCCAATATGGGTCTCCGAGACTCCCTCTTTGCAGGAGTAAAAAGCTGCATCGTTCTCCTGCAGAGTGGCTGGTGGTTTCGAATAGTCAACCTTGTGGTTAGCAGCCCAACGTACAATGTACAACCACTATGCCTCTAGGGCACTGCTTCTCAATTTCAAAGACACAGCCAACTGCCTCAAACTCAGTCAAAAATCTACTGACCAGCCAATTCCATTAGCCAGTCTTTGACCCAAAGTATTCTGATTCTCCGTGCTGTATCTATGAGCTTTTAAAGAGTGCTACAACCTGTTCGAAGCAAATTAATTATCTCTAAACCACCCACAGGCTTTGACAGACTCATCTCAAATCAAAATCAATAGAATGAGATCAATGTTCACCAAGAAGTAAATTCTCAAGGGCTTCAGTGATTTCTGGATTATGAGAAAGTTGGACTACTTAATCAAGTTTGGGAGCTCCTGTCTCATTTGAGATACAGCTAAGTCTCAAAGGCTTTCTTTTCTGGACTTATAACTTTTCTTTTTAGAATGTTAGCTAAAGTTCTCTTCTGTACTGTCCTGTGACTTCCAAAGTCTTTTATCGTAAATATGGGCTATTCATTCATTTTCTATTCCTACTAAACGTAGAAACTGAAATACATGTTATACTATATTACTACAAAGAGGCATCGTGGGTTAGGTATGTGGCTGCAGACAGAATGATCAATGGTTCAGACCCACCAGCTGCTCCTTGAGGGAACGATGAAGCTGCCTGCTTCGATAAAGACATACAAACGTGGAAACCCCAAAGAAGTTCCACTGTGTTTTGCACAGTTGCTGCGGTGTTGTCAGGTGCCAGCGAATCGGGGCTGATTCCTAGGGTCTCCTGCACAACAGAAAAACCGCTGTCTGGTCCTGTGCCACCCTCACAGTTGTTCTTACCTTGAGCCATTGTTACAGCCCCTGTGCCAGTCCCTTTGGTCAAGGTCCTTCCTCTTTGTCATTGCCACTCACACCTGACCACGCACGATGTCCTGCTCCAGGGACCGGTCTCTCCTGACAACATGCTCAGAGGGCCTGAGGTACAGTCTTACCATCCTCGCCTCCCAGGAGCATTCTAACCAGACTTCTTCCACGACAGTCTGGTTTGGTTTGTTGGCAATCCATGGCACTTTTGGTAGTCTTCACCAGCACCATAATTCAAGTGTCTCACTTCTTCTCCAGGCTTCCTTATTCAATGTTCAACTTTCACGTGCACATGAGGCAACTCAAAATATCATGGCTTGGGTTAGGTACATCTTCGTCCTCAAATAACATTTTTGCTTTTCAACACTGGAAAGAGGGCTTGTGTAGAAGATGTACCTAATACAGCGCATCATTTGCTCTCTTACCTGCGGCTTCCGCGAACCTTGTGACTCGAAGTGAGACAAACTCCTTGACATCTTCAAGCCTTCCTCATTGATCATCATGCGACCGAGGGTCTAGTTGTGAGGATTTGGGTCTTCCAACAACCCATCGAGATGTTATTCATACTAAAGACCGCAACCCCTGACCTTCAGGAAGAAGTGCATCAAGTCCTGCTCACTTTCAGCAAGCCAGGCTGTGCCATCTGTATTTCCCAGCTTGTTAATAATCCTTCCTCCAATCTTGATGCCAGGATCTTCCCCATGTTATGCAGCTTCTCTGATGATTTGCTCAGCATACAAACTGAATAAGTATGGCGAAGGGATACAGCCCCACTGCAGACCTTTCTTGACTTTAAACCATGCAGTAATCTCCTTGTTCTGTTTGCACAACAGCCTCTTGATCCTTGCATAAGATTCACATGAGCACAATGAAGTGTTCTGGAATTCCCAGGCTTCTCAAATCTACCCAGGGTTGTTATGATTTACACAGTCAAATGCCTGGGTATAGTCAGTAAAACACACGTAAATATCTTTCTGCTATTCTCCACTTGCAGTCAAGATGCATCTGACATCAGCAATGATGTCCCTTGTTCCAAGTCCTCTTCTGAATCTGGCCTGAATTTCTGGAAGCTCCCTGTCAATAAACTGCTGCAACTGTTGGATGATCTTCAGCTAAATCTTGCTTGCATGTGATGTTGATGATACAGATATCTATAATCTGAGCATTCTGCTGGGTCACCTTTCTTTGGAATGAGTAGACATGT